CAGAGGAGCAGGAAAGCTGATGTTTCGGGTCTAGAAGGGTCTAGGCCCGAAACATCAGCCTTCCTGTTCCTCTGATGCTGCTTGGCCTGCTGTGTTCATCCAGCTCTACACCTTGTTATCTCAGATTCTCCAGCATCGGCAGTTCCTACTATCTCTGAAACATAAAAAAATTATCAGTTTTAGGTAGTTCTTCCTTGTAGCTACATACCTGCCCAAGTGTTTCACAAATGGGGTAACAATAAATGCACCAATCAGACCACCAATGGCACAGATGGAGACAATTATTGACCAGAGAAGAGTTAATGATTTGGTGTCAATGGTTGTTCCAAAGCGTCTGGTCCATGACTCATTGCAAAAGGCTTTAACGTACTGAAAAGAAAAATAAATTAGTATCAGTACCAGGGCAGCAAGAAATGAACCGAATCTCATTAATGAACTGAAACAATGGCATGACCTTGAATATAGCAAAAAAGCCACAAATATGAAATATGTTGCATGAAAAGTCTGCCTCTTGATGATAATGGATCTGTAAAATAGAATTCAAAATAATGACAATATGCTTTTCTCATTTGTTCTCCCTGTATCATTCACAGCCCAATCTGTTCCATGCAAATTCTTCTGTCAGGTTGCCTGTGGCCAATTGGTAAAGGATGCATATTTACAGCCTGAAGTGATTGTCCCTCTGATGATGTTCCTTTTCTTCCTGTGGAGAAACATTTGATCTAAAATCTGTTTCTCTGCACAATAGCCACAAGTGCTGGGGCAAGGGATGGTGGTGGCAAATGTTTGGGGGGGTGGGTGGGTGCGGGGAGGGGTGGGGTTTGTGGGTGTGGCATGATGTGCAACTAAACATCTACAGCTTATTGTTTTATGTTAAAAATCTTTCAAGCTCCAACATGCCTGCATCACCAGTTAAACCCCCATTTAATTTCTAATATGATATTATGCCATTATCATTGTTTGCAACTTGGTTATGAATTAGAAGTAAATGGATTTTTGGTTTTCAGGTCTGTGAAGATTGTTGATTCTCTTTTAAGGGTCAGAAACTCCTTACTTAGCAGTGAGTTAGACAGAATTTCTAAGAAATCATGTGAGATAAACTATATTACTATACAAGCTACCTAGTTAGATATTTGCTGTAGTGTTCACTAAGTTAAGCTTTTACAATCTACAGAAATAGAAACCAGAATTCAGAAGTAGGTCCAGCTCAGAAAGGTTCATGCCAGCAGAGGGCTTTTTTTTGTTTGAGTAGTTTCTAGGCCAGAGCTAGAAATACATCTTAAGCTGTTTTAGCAGTCTCACAGTTAGAGAAAAGTCAGTGAGTTAGCCTGCCTATGTATCTTGAGCAGAGAAGGAGATAATAAAATTTGGTGAATTTGCAGCAAGTCACCAAAAGGAAACATTTGTGATGTCATCAGATGAGTAAGAAATTAAAGAGTGAAGACAGGAATGTAATTCACTAGGGTTGAGTGTATATAAAAGATATAGCTGGGGAAAAGGATTGAATTTATCTTTGTCATGAGATCTTTCCTCATTGTCTTCTATAGGCATATATAGCTTTTTTCCTATTTTTGATGTGATCAACATTTTTTTTGTTAAAAGCATATTGTCATCTCCCTGTAAATATGTTCAGTGATTGACCACTATAGTAAATAAATTGCAAAAATAAAACTTGTGGTCTACCAAGCCAGGTTTTGCTCTGAGATCTGACTTGTCAAATATTACCTTCGGTTGAAATCATAATATTACTTTCAACAAAGGTTTCAAATATCCATTAGATGGAATTTTATTTAAAACCAAAAACAATTTTTAAAACTATGTTAATAACTATGTTACAAATTAAGAAAACCGGCATTTCTTTCCACCATCAGTTTTCTTCCCTCCAGTCCTCACATTACTTACTCCATTTTTGATTATAATTCCAAGAGAACATGTACCCTCCAAGCAACCATTCTTCTATTGTTAAGTCCTGGAGTATAATCAATAGAAGGTGACTTTATTAAGGGAAAAATAATTTCACTGAGCGAGTGGCAAATCCATGGGACAAATTCCTTCAGAAGATATTGGAGAAATTGTTGGTTTCTTCAAATGCACTTCAGATAGATTTATTTAATAAAACAATAATCTGGGAGACAGAGTGAAATACCTCCACAGAAGCTGGTATCCTGTCACCAAGTCACCCTTTATTTACACGTGCTTAGTATTTGATACTGATCCAGCTCCCTCAGAGGCAGCTCCCAGTGAGCAGAACCCTGACACTTCTGTTTATATCTGTCAGACAGGACTCCTTGATTGGACCAGATTGACCACACCAATCACAGAACTCATATTCTATGAGGTCCACTTGGCTGATTTCATTACAATCATATACCCCTCTCCCTCTAAGTCCAGGGATGTAGGTCTGTTCTTTTTCTTGTAGACTGTCCTAGGCATTTTCACACTGGGTTTGGTTCAGCCTCGGATATGGGTGGTGTGTATCAGACCATAGCCTGCCTCTTGTGACCAAAGCGTCTCAGAAGAAATTCATCCACTTCTTCAGGCAGTAAAAGCGTCAAGGCTATGACATCCGCTGTGTCCATCTCAGATTCTAAACTTTCTTTGATGCTAGACTGAGGGGGACAACCCATGGGTTCCAGAACAGTCAGAAAGGCAACTGAGGAGCCGGGCACATTTTGCTACCACACTGGTTGTGAGTTTGCAGATTTCATATGGTCCATGTGCTTGTTTGGGACCCTTGCAACCAACCAAATTATATACATCATTGGACATGACCTCACATCGTCCATACCTCTTACTATTGCAGGGCAATTTCCATGGTTTCAGCACCAAACTTCGTCCCCTGAAATAAAATGTATCTTTCACTTAGTGGAGTTTTCTGTCTGTCATTGGTACTCCTGATGCTGTTTCACTATTTCCCCCATGTCCAGGAAGATCAGATTTAACCTGGTGCAGAGTCTTCTCCCCATTAGCAACTCTGCTGGAGCTATCCCTGTAGTTGCATAATCAACTAGGAACTGGGACAGTTTGGTATCTAGTGAAGCTGAAAGCTGTTTCTTTAAGCCAAAGTTTGGACTGCACTTTCCGTCAGACCATTGGACAATAGATGGTATGAAGCTGTCCTTGTCTGCAGAATGCCATTCGACTTTAGGAAATACACAAATCACCTGCGGGTAAATGATGGCCCTGTGTCTGTGACCAACACCTCCAGGAGCCCATGTATTGTGAAAGATGCTCACAGCTTTTCTATTGTACTCACCGTGTTTGACAAATGAACTCTATGCACATTGAGTGGGCGTCCACAATGACTAAAAATGTTGAGCCCATGAAAGGGCCATCATAGTCAACATATACCCAAATCCAAGGTTTACCCGGCCATTCCCATGAACGTGGGGATCTGCTGGTGGTAATTTTTGCCCTTGTTGGCACTCTGGGCACTGCCACACCAAAGTGGCTATGTCTGCATCCAATCCTGGCCACCAGACATAACTTCTCACCAACATCTTCATTTTGGAAACCCCTGGATGACTCTGGTGCAGTTCAGCCAGTATTTGGTGGCAACCTTTGCTTGGGACAATCACTCTTGTTCCCAAAAACAAAATGCAGTTCTCTATGGTGATTAGGTCCCGCTGGTTCCAGAAAGGTTTCAATTCTGGTTGTGATGACTCCTTTGTGTCACTACCAGCTGTTTTAGTTTTGCCAGGGCAGGATCTTTTTGCATCCACAGCCTGACATTGTCAGCGGTGATCTGAAGGGTGACCAGATAGTTTAAAACCATTATTGACTGTCCTAGCGGCAGCACCACCGATGGTGTATCTGCCAGTGGGAGGTGGCAGAAGACATCCGCATTTGCTACTTGCCTCCCAGACAGTGTCCAACTTGTAATTGTACACACTCAGAATGAGAGCCCACCGCTGAATTCGACCTGAAGCTATAGGCAGTACGGCCTTGTCCTCTTTGAGTAGCCCCAGCAGGGGTTTGTGGTCCGTTACTGTTTCAAATTTATGTCCATAAATGTATTACTGGAACTTTCTCACACCAAAGATGACCACCAAAGCTTCCTTCTCTGTCTGGCTGTATTTGCACTCTGCATCAGCCAATGTCCGGGAAGCATAAGTTATTGGACGTTCCTCTCCATTGGGCCACCTGTGAGCCGACTGGCCTGATATTTTTCAGGAAGGCATCGCATGTCAGCATCAGATCTCACTTGGGATCACAGTGGCCAACACCTTAGATGATGATAGCAGCTTCTTCAGTTCCCTAAAGGCTATATCTTAGCTACAGGCCATTTCCAAGACTGACCCTTTCTCAATACCAAATGTAAGGGTGCCTGGATAGAGGACAGGTTACATATGAGCTTTCCGTAATAAGTTACCAAACCAAGGAAAGACCTCAGCTCCGGTACCAAAATGGAAGCTGGGGCATCTTTGATGCCCTCACTTTATCTTCCAATGGGTGTAACCCGGTCTTGTTGACTTTGTAGCCCAAGTAGATCACTTGGGGTGCCTGGTACACACATTTTTCCCTTCTAACACATACGTCTGCCTTGGAGAAACATACAAAGACTATGTTCAAGTTCTCTAAGTGCTCTTTATTTTCTTTCCTGTTACTAGCACTTCATCTAAATCAATGGTGACCTGGGGTAGACCTTGTAAAATGTTCTCCATAGTCTGCTGACAAGTGACACAGGCTGATAATACTCCAAGTGACAGTCTCGTATGTTGGTAATTGGGCATTAATTGTAGCATACTTCTGGGAATCCTTATCTAACCGCAATTGCAGATACACATGGCTCATGTCCAGCTTCATGAAGAACAGCACCCCTCAACTCTCCCGGCCCGTCAACTTTGTGTATAAGTCCTCTATGTGAGCGATTGGGTATTTATCCAGCTGCAAGAAGTGGTTTACCACTTGTTTAAAATCCCCACAAAGGTGAATCGACCCATTAGGCTTCACAATCGGTACGACCGGTGCTGCCCATTCCACAGACGGGACTGGTTTGATGATTCCTTCATTTCCAACCTCCTGATTCCTGCCTCTACTTTTGCCCGTAAGGCAAATGACACTGGGTGGGCTTTGCGGAATAATGGAGTTGCTTCCTGGTCAACATCCTTTGATAGTCCCTAGACCTTCCTGAAAAATCTCCAGGTATTTCACGAGGATTTCCCACAGGCAGCCATTTTCTAATCAAAAAATGTTGAGCCAATCAGGGTGAATCTTTCTCAATCAATTCCACCCCAATAGGCTTGGGCCTGAGCCTCTCACTACAATCCATGGTAACTGAACCAGCTGTTTCTCATAAGAGACTGGAACCAAAGTTGTAACACTAATCTGTGAAGGTTGCTGGTACAAGTTCTGTCTAGCCAAAGTCT